CTCAAAGAACGGCGCAAAATCACACTTACGAATTTGAGAGAGAGAAACTGCGAATTAGGATGCAGTGTATTCAGAAAGAAAGAAGTTCTGGAGTGTTTTTCGTGTGTAGAAAATGGAGTTTTGCCTCAGAATTTATAGGCAATTATCAGAAGAGGTGTCTAGAAAAGTGCCTTTTCAGAAGAATACGCTGCCTGCCGCGGTTCTACCGCGACCGCGGCATAACCGCGGTCAAATAGGCTCTTTGAATCTACCTGTCGCGGTTCCACCGCGACCGCAGAAGAACCGCGGTCAAATAGGCTCTCTGAATCTTCAGCAAGATTCTGGCGTATTTTCAGCAGTGACTTGGCATTTAATTAATTATTAAATAATTAAATAAATTTTGTCCAAAAAATAATCTTATCGATCATTTGACAAAGCCAAAGCCAAAGCCGAGCCGAGCGAGCGACGACGACAGCGCGAAAGTTCATTCTTTTCAACTCCTTTTAAGAGCTTTAAGAAGTGATTCTATATATAAGCACACAAATGTGGTTGTCCCTCACCAATGAGGGACAAAGTGCAAGACAAAAGTTCACTTCTTCAAATTTTTCATTTTTCCTCCATTTTATTTCCCTGCATTTCCAATTCACACTTCTTCTACTTTAAAGCCCAATGGCTTAAAGTCCAATAGGTATGTGCCGGTCGCAAATATTGAAAATTCTTTAAGTTTATTGCAGGAAGCATCCTGTTTTATTTATTCTAAGGGATTGGATGAGTTATCTTGATTGAAATTTTGGGGTTAAATATATTTTGTATATAGTTGAAGGTATTAATTAAAATCGATATTACTTTTACACCTAAATCTTAATATAACTTAACACATATAGAAGCAAAATAAGTTATTTAAGTTATAATTCCTATTTTAATTCAAGATTAAAGTTCTTTAGGTTTATTCCGTTCCACGGGCGAATCAAACTGAGATCATCTTTAAGTTTCAAAGTTTTCTGGAACTTAAACTTTGCAAAATAAAATGAGGTATATGTATGGGTCAAAATCTAACCACACGTGGATTAGCACTAAAGAGAATGATAAGGGGTCGACTAAGCCGTGATCGTACCCCCAAAGGCGTAATAACAATTAGTATCTCGGCCACTATCGAAGTCGATCTATCAGAAAGCTTTTACGGTAAAATATAGTATATCGTAATACGAGAAGGGGACCGTCGAAACATGGTTACCCCTCGAGAGCGTTTCGGCTAAAGAAGCTCCTTCCAACACTACCCTTCATCGTTTCGACGAGGCCTCTCCACTACCGACGCGAGAAGATTCGCCCGTGGAACGGAATTATAACCTTAATCTTGTTTTGTATGTGCCGGTCGCAAATGCTGAAAATTCTTTAGGTTTATTACAGGAAAAAAATTATTTTGTGTTTCATACAAATTACACTAGTTGTATGAGTTATTTTTTTTTAACCTAACTCATATAGAATGCGAAATAAGTTATTCAAGTTATAATTCCAATTTTAATTGAAGATTATAATCATGAGATATTTTGATTTTGAACCAAACAAACCCTTGGAATTCACCAAAACGGGATACTAAAGTGTGGGAAAGAGAGGAGGTCATTTAAGTAAGGAGTTACATTTAGATGATCTCAGTTAGTAGTAGGTATCACCAATTACGGTCAAACACCTTAATAATGGATGTTTCATTTAATGATCCATCAAAATCATGTATCCGTAGCCTCATTCTATGAAAGCAACAAAACGTGTGTGTTGTTGGTCAACACAGCCTAACCCCGAGTCACTCTCCAATATCCATAATACGTTATTTAATTTTGAATGAATGTGGGAGCGTTTCTTTGCTTTGCTTGATACCGCTAGATTGTGAATGTGACGTCCATGTATGTACAATTAATTCACCAATTTTTTCAATCAATTTGAATCTTGTCCTTCTCTACTTCTTGTTGCATTTATAGCAGAGTCCCCCAAATCCAATTATAGTCAAACTTTGATTAACTCCTCCAATACCCTTAGATTTCCTGAGACCAAAATATAATCTTGAAAAGGAAATTCACTATTTCCTGTTTACTTGTCAGGTTTAAAAAAATAATAGTTTTGTTTACCCCAAAATCCGAGTAACAATTAAACTTATATTGCGGTTTTAAGAATATGTGATTTAGTCCAATACCAGTTGATAAACAAGGAATTAAATATATAAATTGAAGAATAAAATAGATCGAACCAGCGTGCAAGCCAAATTTCGACGTAGAACTATGACAGTCTGGAGGTGTGCTAGTAAGAACAACAAATTATAAGACAATTCTGATGAATAGTAAGCAAGAAAGTGATGAATGTATATTCTCTTGTCAATGAACAATGCGCTACAAATGAATGAGCCCTTTATATAATAGAGGAGTTCTAAATAAGGTGCATTTCTAATTACAGTAAGGGAATCATATTGGATAGCTGTCTAACCTCCAAGGACCGAACTGTTCCAGAATTTACGTCGTGATCTTCGGGCATTGCGGGTATCTTGCTTTCTGTTACTAAATCACAACGGTATTATCTCGAAGTGGGCCTTCTTCCGACCTCGGCAAATAGTATCGACCTCAACCTCGGTATTGGAAAGGAACCTCGACCCCGAGCTCGGCGTCCTGGCCTCTCGACGTGGCATCACCTTTTCCATCGAAGAACGAAATCAGGTAGCCTCGATTTACTTACAAGTTTCAAAACACTTGTCGTTTTAGAAAACACGAGAGATAATTTTATTAAATTGTTTAACCCTTAATCTACTAAATGTGGAGAAATAATTTGGTGAAAGTAAGTAGTAATAATAAATTTGAGATTAAAGAATAAACAAGAATAAATCAGTCAAATTATTCTTTTAATTAATTTAATTTCTTGACAGGAGTGATGTGTGCAAACGGAGAGAAAGGAGGGAGTTTAGTTTCTTTTTTCTCCTCCAGTCTTATGTTGCCAAGCAGAAAGTGCAAACAGAAATACAAAGTAAGCATAGAGGGATAGGGATAGGAGCTACAGCAAATCTTCTGAAAAAAGACAGCAACATGGATTGCCATACATTACACCAGAGTATACTGTATGTTGGGAACTTTTTTGTTACTATATAGAAAATTTAATACTACTAGTTTCGTGTCCCACAAGTATTGTAAGATTAAAAACCAGTGAGCCCAACATTCATTAATTTGAATAGAAGAAATCTTGTTTCTAAACAAACCCAGTCAAACACTAGTAGAGAGTCTAAGCATCAGAGACAAATTAAACAAGAACCTCATTTCCCCATGCCTTAAGAACATGTGGTATCAGGTCCACCTAGCTCGTTGCTGTTTTTTTTATTAACTTTAGTATTTGGTTGTCAAGGGACATGTTATAGTATAGGAAAAGGTAACAATGAAGTAAAATCAACAAGCCTAGAGTAGTTTTTGAAGGAAGAATAAAGGAACAAGTTTGAAGAAGGATCAAAACCAGTGACCTCACGATGGCTCTTAATTTCATGCACTCAAATCCATATGCTAGTTGGAAACTTTGAGGTCACTCGTTGAATCACACATAAATTAATGGTTAAAAATTGTCTACACGCTCAATATATATATGGTCTTATCATTAATGAAAACCCATCTTAGTAATAATAAATATAAGGAGAAAAAAGGTTCAATAGTTCTAATAGGTTGAAAGCTTAAATATGATGAAATGTGTATGCTAATCAGTATAAATAGTTGATGGAACAAAATTGGTCGTGATTAACTTGTATAACGAATAGCTAGTCAGGGAGAAAGGCTCCTTCATAAAATAAGTTGAAAGCATGTATCCTCACAAATTAGGAAATTCTTTTTCATCTGAAAATCCATTAAAAGAAGATTGTGCTCCAATTGACTTAAAATGGAACTGGCATACCTTATGGCTTATGTAATGCTCTAGAGAGCACCAGACCTATGTAAACTATTGCACCAGTTGGTTGGGAAAAACCTCCACTTAATTGGTTAAAAGTTAATACAGATGGTAGCAGTAACTCAGCTGACCAAACTGATGGTATTGTGAGAGGGATATACATAGAGATTTGATCATGGCTTTTGCCAAAAAGAACTCCATTCATGCACTAACTATCAAGCTGAGGTGCAAGCAGCCTTATTTGCAGTTAATTGGTGCAATCAACAAGCTCACAGTAACATCATTTTGGAAATGGACTCGTTGCTTGTTGTAAATATGCTAACTGACAGGAATGTTATTCCATGGGAATTAGCTCAATGGGTGGAGGAGATTAGACGGTACTACTGTCTTGTTTGATGAATGGAAAGATCTCCCTAAGAAAGCTAGAAGATGCTCCAGAATGGATCAAAATCAAATTTCTAATTTTAGAATTAGGAAAAAGCACAAGAATGAAACTTCCTGAAGTTATGTTTCTGCACATTGGTAATAGGGAGTTGTGCTCCCTCTTTTTTGGAAGCTTATCTGTTTATACCTAGTCGATCCGACCCTAGGATCAACTTATTTATTTGGTGATCAATATGGAAATGACCTTACATCATGTAATTTTTTGCTAACTCTACGGTTAGGAATACCTAACTTACTTGTTGTAGAAGGAGAGGTAATTGGTAAGGTTTTATGTCCCCGTCTTCATGTATTTCTTTTTATTTTAATATACAGGTTGTGGTTAGCCTAAACCCCGTGATGGTGAGATTTAAACAGAGAAAGGACTTCAAAATTCCACATAAGCATACATCTAAAAAGAACATTGTATCCTCTGTCAAACACACACCAGACTGTACATTATTCATGCATATGTACAAAGTAACATCACCCGAATTTATGTATAGGTCCAATTTCAACGTGGCGTGTTGAAAACTGTGTCTGGTTTTACTGGCTAATAAGCTCTAAAACAAGATGCCACTCAAGCATAGCAATCTCATGTTCTTTTCATCCTGGGTTCACTATTTTTCAGCACATCTTGATCAAACCCACAAATTATTTAGAGCGTATTAAAATTGAAAAATCATAAGCTAGAGTTGTACAATTTGAAACTAAAAATGTATTACCAATTACCATGCGTGCCAGGACTTTTAAGCCAATTCGGTTTCTTGTTCACTTATTAGGCTAGCGTATTTCAATTATGTATTGATGCGAAAGCTTGGCCAGTCCGGCAGTCCCAACTCCCAAATTGGTAGAAAATAAATACAACACCAGATCATATATTATTTTAGACCTTTTTTGTTTTGGAAGATCTAAAGGAGAATTTAAGTAACTATGCTATTAGGACATAAAACGAAGTATCTGAAGTCTAATTCTTGTTCTTCAATTAGAGCATTGTCACTAGTAAAAGGGATCTTCGGAGAGGCCAGGGAAGTTCAAGAACATTTCGTTTTCGCATTCTAGCATGGCTTCAACAAATGATGATGATGATGATGGTGATGTAACCTTTATAGACAATGTGGCTTCAAAATCCTCCATTGTTGGCGCATTGTTTTGTCGATATTCTTGAGCTGCCCCAGACACTAGCTTTTCTTCTATGTTCAATGTGTCTTCTTGAAAGGCATCATCAAGAAGATAGTCACACCAGTTGACATGATTTTTGGTTAAAGAATGAGATGCAGATGATGATGAGGACGACGACAAAGGCGAAGACAAAGAGCAATCAGTTATGGGGTTGGTATAGGAGAAGATCGCCTTTGGGGAATTGTTATTAGATGCCTCTGTTACAAATTGTATAGCTTGTAACTCAGAAAGTAGATCAACAGGAGGCTGATTGTTGCTACAATCGTAATTGTTGCTTAAGAAACAATCTTCTGAGGTTTCAGTTTTTTGTAGCCTAATTGTTGTCACACAATGGCTGTTGAAGTTTGGAAATCTTTCTAGAGGATGTTGTAGTTGTTCTGGTGTAGACATAAATGCACCCTTTAACTCTCTGTTAAGAGATACGAACCGAGTTCTGGCTTTTGGAAAGCCACCAATGTTTCCATAGTCAGTGAGAATTTGAGAAAAGGGCTTGTGAGTGACTGGATCAATCCCCATTGCAGACAGTTTCTTTTTCAACTTTGTGTTCCACAAGCTCTTCACTTCGTTGTCTGTTCTTCCAGGTATTTGTTGTGCTATTATAGACCACCTGGGAATATTTGCAACAAGTGTGAGAAATGGACAAAAGAAAGAAAATACCAAGGATCATACTATAGGTTTACTTGAACAAAAATTTGGACAGGCAAGGTAAAGGCAAGTATTCGTCGATGCACCTTGTACAATTTGGGTGAAAAGTACAAACACTTATATTCAATCATGTAACTGCTTATTTATAAAATCAGTTTCCGCACTTAATGCTTATAAGCTACTTTTAATCTGTTAGGCTACGCGAGCTTCAAGTATCAGCAGCTTGTAGGCTATGTTGCTCGGACTCTCCGAAAATATCGTTGGGTGCGGCAGCGTTTTGGAAAATCCGCGCAACATAACTGGTAGGAACCATGGCTTAATTTGTCCAAATGTAGTTACACGTTATAAATCAATCGATTCAATTTAGTACGGTGAGAGCAAATCCAAGAGTTTGATCGAAAGACCAGGAACTATTATATTTCTTTAGGATTGACACACACCTGCTTCCTATAGTGGCATGAAGCTTAATGATCAGTTCCTCTTCTTGGGGTGTGAAGCTGTCCTCCTTAAGATCAGTCTTCAGACGATTACTCCACCTATTCTTCTGACCCCTCCCACATTTCCCAGTTCCTGTTCAAAATTGCACTCATACACACAAATCTTGAAATTTAGCAGCTGACCAATTGTTAAGGAAATGAACCTTAAGCCTAATTAAACTCCAGAAGTTAACTCATGAAATGAGAGTTGCTCAAGATCAAATGAAGAGACAACATCATATTCCCTCAACCAATTTTGGACAATCTAACATGTTCCGCACACCTAGTCAAGATAACTGGAGTGTGGATAACATAATATGCGGTCCAACATTGGGAAAAGAGGTGGACCTAGGATTTTAACGCAACGGGGACACAATATTCTATTCAATAAATGCCCCCTACGGACTTTTAGCGTTCAAGGTGCCAAGTGATGTAAATTAACCATTTTCAAGGTACATACATANATATATACATACATATATATATATATATATATACATACACACACATATATATATACAAGATTTCTGCAGAAGTTTACGGGGTTCGATGACCCTTCAACATAACACATAGGTCCGCCCCTAACGAGTACATGGATGAGTTTGACTCTGTTAATATATTTAAAATATTGATTTGTGCGTAACTTAATGATGTCAAGATTTTCAAGACATATAAAGAGACAACTCATTCACTTAGTCTTAACTAATTTGGGATAATCTAACACAAATAAACTTAATTATGGATTTAATGTATTAATAGAAAAATGAAATAAAACAAGGAGAGATAGTTAGTTACCTGATTTCTTGGACATGGCCGTCCAATTACCAATTCCATGTTTGGAGACAAATGTAGATGTATTTGCATCCTCTTCCGTCCAATTACATCTTCTATTATGCATCTTATCACTGCAACAAGGAGGCCTTCCCATCTATAAAACTTCTGTTCTAGCACAGATAAAAAGGGGACAGATGAAGGTAACAAACAAATGAAAGAATTCAGTGTTGAAGAGACAATAATAAAAATCCCCAATTTTTGAACCTTCTTATGGATTTATAAATGTAACCCTAAAAGGGAGGCAAGAAAAGCATGGTATCACTTTCCATTTAACTATTTAACATGATGGAATGTATTTTCTGTCGAACAGTTTTTAGATGAACTATTAAAGAAGTAAGAAAGAGGTAAATACTTTTTAAGTTACAAAGAGCGTTTCAAATAGGTTCGAATTGGGTGAATTAATTTGGTTAAACATAGAATTATTATTTTGCAAATAAACTACTATATTCTACAAAGCAAGTGGTACTTCATGATCACAAGAAAGTAAATAGATTTCAGCTTTAGTTTCAAAGATCACAAGTTTGAGAACTATTATAAACAAATGCTGTATTCAACTAACTGAAGAAAAGACAATATGAAAATGGCCATTTGAATTCTGCTTAAGAAACCACAGCATTGGCATGATAAAAAGCTATACTCTTCATTTTGGAAATTTGTTTGACATTCACTACCTAGAAGTAAAAGGAAAAAAAAAACATAAAACAGAATAAACTAGCTTTAGGCCTTATTTATATGCATTTAATGGATATCTGAACCTTAATAATAGTTTCGAAGAACTTAAGTAAGTTGAAAGAAGGGCTGGAAGTTGGCTCAGTATAGGTCGTGTGTCTCGCTTTCTAGCACTCGCACGTAGGGGTGTACATAGATCGGGTTGGTTCGGATTTACAATTATCAAACCAAACCAATTATATCGGGTTATTAAATCTAAAGATCAAACCAAACCAATAAAATTCGGGTTTTCACTCTCGGATTTTCGGGTTATTCGGGGTTTTTCGAGGTTTTTTTCCGGTAAAATCTTCGTAGAACAAAACATATAAATTGTACTCAAAATATTTCTTTAATCCTAGAAGGATACAACTATATAAAGTATTTTCCAAGAAGATAATACAAAATATGAGATGTGTCATGGCATTATCCAAAAAATTTCAACAATAAAGACAATAAAATTATGTAATATAAATATTGCTAATTAAAAAGCTATAATAAAAATAAATATAATCTAAAAAGTACTAAGTCATGCTAAAATAAGTAGATTAATAAGGGAGTATTATTACATGATTAAACGCTAAAGAAAAAATAAAAATAGATTATGCATTTTTATCTAAATTATTCCAAAACAAAAAATTATTCAATACATTCCCGTTCGTAGTATTGAATTGAATGTCTTTTATTAGCATTAGTATTGATTTGATTTTTGGTTTGGGCTTTTGTTAGCATTACTTAATTTACTAATGTTAATGACTATAAAACTTATTGGAACATTCAAAAGTTCTAAGTCCAATCTTGAAATAATACCTTAAAAGATAAAATTATGAAATTTTTAAAAAAATATTTATAAATTACGTCACAATAAGTATATTTATATATTAAATATATCTAAAATTTCTATATATGTAATATCGGGTTGGTTTGGTTTCGGCTTGACTTTCTTTAGTTAAAACCAAATCAAACCAAATCATAGTCAGATTTTTTTTTTTCGATTTGACTCGGATTATCGGGTTGGTGCGGTTTGTCGGTTTCCTTTGTACACCCCTACTCCCATGCATCTGGTTTTTTTTTAATTTAATTTTTTATCCGGTGTCCAGTACCTACATTGAAACCCGACTAATCCCTAGTATCTACATTGAGACCCGACTAATCCCTAGTACCTACCTTGGGACCAGACCAATCCCTGTCAGAAATTTTTCCATTCCATACATCTGGTTAATATATGCATCAATTTCGACATAGGCCATAACCGTGAATATATAATAGCACAGGGCTAGACAAATATAACTAATTAATTTCATTCAGGGTTAAGAAATATTTAAGATTTTAGGAAGGGATGAAGCCCCAAACTTGATTTTCGAGATTTTTCACCTTTACTTGAATTCAAAAATATATATGGTGGTTATTAGATGATATTTCAAAATTTCAACTAATCTTTGATATATTTTGTATATAGTTAAGTTTTTCTGTTTGATGTACACAATCCATCAAATAAAATACTTAAGTACTTATCAAAAACATTACCCAAAAATTTGTTAAGAGTGTTGAAAGGAATAACAAAACAAAAAAAGGAAAACAAAATGGGAGGGTTATACGTGGTTTCTAGACAAATGAACTAATTTGATCCTGAAATAAAGAAATAATTGAAGAAATATACAATAATTAGCCTCAAAATGTAGATAAAATAGTAGAGTTGACGCATCCGGAAACAAGGTTAACGGGCACAACAATGACGAGATCAAATGCAAGAAAGTAAAATTGTATTAAGCTTTGTATAGAATGTAGTGTAAGTTAGCGAGAAAATTCATTTCTTTTCCAATGATAACTAAGCTCACTATTTATAGTTGCATCTAAGGAAGGGGGTTCTAGGATCGTGCCCTCCTTTAACGTTAATTATAAGGGTCATTGATGAAGATGTAACGGTAGAGATAAATACCAAATTCCCTGTAATGGGTCGTTGCTCTTAATGCTGCAGAATACTCCCCATTAAATGATACCGGGCGCAGAGCATTTAATACACATTTCTATGAGCGTTATCTCTTCCGGTGACAAGCGGAATATCTGCATTCGGCGGCCATCTCCATTTTGTGTTCCACGTGTCCCTCATTTAGATTACCACGTGCCATATCATATTTTTTCCTTTATGGATAGCCCCCCTGCTTTTCAGTGACACAATCCTGTGTTACCGGAAAGTTGGTAGAAATACTCCTTTTGGTAGGAATTACTATAATTCCCCTTTGCAAGCTTCTGACGGTTGATTAGATGCATGTCTCTCTGCATTTAATGCCCCGAACACGCGTCATCCCATGATTCAGCACAGCCTTTGCTGATTATCGAGGTAATCATGTCCATGATTTTAGCCGCCAAAATTTTACTTATACGCATCATCCTTCTCCCATGCACTCCATAATTTCTAGAACTTCTAACTTGCATATTTGTTTTCTCTTTTCCTAATTCTCTTCGAACCAAAACCTATTTCATTCTTCTTATTCAACGGCTTATTCTTCCAAACGCGCCGACTCTTCAAAGAACAAGAACAAGGCCGAGGACTCTGCTCCTTCAATGGTAGGTTCCATCATCCCCCGAAGTCTTAATACCACAAAGGACTTCGAAGAGAAATTCCCTACTGGTAACCCTCGTTCATGGGCTATAAATAGGTATCCTTGTTCAATTTGCCCTTCCAGTATTCCTACTATGAAGGAAGACTATTGCTAGCATGAGTTGGACATCATTGCTCCTGATCTATCGGAGCGAGTGACCCTACCCAGGGAAGGTTTTACATATTTTTACACATATTCTTTTACTTTGGATGTATTTTCTTTGAGCAGAGAGTTTGATTCTGTTATTGCGGAGTTTTGCCTTCTCTACCAAGTATGCTTGGCAGAAGTGAGCCCTTCAGTGTGGAAGACGGTTGCTTGCCTTCGCCACATGTGCCAGGAAACTGGAGAAGAGCTATTATTAGCTCATATGATGAATCTTTACTCCCCCAAGATTCTCTGGGGGATATGATAAACCACTGTAAACGTGGCCACCGTGCTCTGTTGACTAGCATGGATGATGATAACGACCTTGGGCGGACGCAATGGTTCGTTGTAATTTCCACCAATAATATCATTATGTCAACGGTATCATCCTTTTCGGTCGTTTGGAACCGTACTCGTAAGACCTCTATTTAGTATATTTTCTTTCGCTAAATATTCTTCTATACTGCGTTGATTCTTCACCCTTCATATGTTTCAGCAACTCAATGGACCCCACTAGCGGTGGAAGGTCTCGACCGGTGGGTTCGGAAGATCTTGGATGTTACGACGCCCGAAACTCATTTGTGGAAAGAACTGGCCCTTAAGTACGGGTGGAAGGCCAAAAATCATGGTAATTCAAACTCACCTTATCAATTTTTCATGTGAAGGACTTGACTAATTTCTTCTATCTTTTTTATTGAAATCAGGTCTACCTGCGGGCTCAGTTATTGCCCCCGAGGAGGACGTTTTGGCTGAACCTACTGATGTGGCGAGGCTGCTTCAGGAGGTGCTTACTCGAGCATGTGTCTCCAGACCTGCTTCAGGCATAAATGTTTCATTACGAAGTCCTCGGCTGGAGAAAAAGCAACCAAAGAGAAGGTGTTCCTCTACGGTCGGGGAAAAGAATAAGAGGGCGAAGACTACTGCCCATATGTCATCTCCAAAAGTTGTGATCACTAGCCCTCTTCCCGGGTCGGTCATAGACATTGTGATGATCGACGATGATGGAGAAACTAGTGATGATGGGGCTTCTCTACACAAAAGGTGACGTTCATCATCAACTTAACAGACTGCTCCATCTGTTAAGTTAACTACTTCAACCGAGGACGACGTCTCGACACTATGGGGGGAGTTTGATTTGGTAGAAGATGCCAACTCCTGCTATCGGGTCCTAACTGCAGTGCCCGCTACTGCGGGATCGAGTACCGAGTCTCTGCCGTCTTTGCTTGGCAAGCACCCTACTAGCACTACACTAGATGCAAGTGCTTCACATCCTTCAACTCCATCAGCAATTGCTATATTATTTCCATCTTCATCCACTATTCCACCAGTAATTGCTACATCATCTTCACCGGCTGCATGTGATCACGAAGGAGATGTTCCTCCTCCCCAGTCCTCAGTTCATGAAAATTTGGGGAAAAATTACACTGCCCCTTTTGAAGATCCACAAAGGAGGAGAAATGTTACTCTTTCGGTCTCTACCGGGTGTAACCTACTTTCTTGGCCGATGGAGCTTGATAACTATCTGCAACCTTTGGCTTCGGAAAAAGGTTGGGAAAAGGTTCAGGCATTCTCGGGAGAGTGTATGTTGAACAATGCCATGCATAATGCCGCAGCAGTATGTTCCTTTCTTCCTTCGTAATTTCTTTTACCTTTTCATGAATATATTCTAAGTTTTGCTTCTTTTACTTTTTTATGCCAACTTTCTTGATTCCGAGGGCCTTCAAAAGTTGATTCGCGAGAAAGAGGAACCTACTTCTGAATGAAATCAATTTTTGGTGGAACGGGACTGATCGACTCCAACCTTGCACCACCATATAATGGCGAGGAGTGGTCGATGCAGATTTTACCCGAAAGGTCGGGATCGATTTCCACAGGTAGTTAATATTTATTGGGAGTTGGGTTTCTATCTAATCTAGCTATGCGTGTTGCTTTTAATTGCACTTCTAACCATTTTTGGTTTTGTTTCTAATCTATGTTTAATACTATTGATTGTTGAAAATAAACTAAGTACAAGGTTTTTGCAAGAGTTTTTTCAATTGATAAAAAGCACTAGGGAAGTGACTTACAACTAGGCGGGTATCTAATGTGATCTTAAATTTAGGACAAGCTTGTTATATTTGGGGTCATGATATAACCATTACACATAATTACTCACTCTATACCTCTCGGTAGTTTGAGTGACTTTGCCCTAATTGGCTTTCTCAAGCCTAATTGGGTGTTCAAACAATGC